GATGGCTTTCCCCTGCAGTGATCTCAGGCAGCATCAGTGCATTATGGCCCAGGGACAAAACCAAATTCACACCCCAAACACGGGGCTTGGAGCGATCTCAGACCCAAAAACCCGAGCTGACAGCACCCTCAGCTCCTCCTGCAGCCTCTGGGTGCTTCGGGTTTGGACATTGCAAGGTCTGACATCTCACATCTCACCCATGGACTCTGCAAGTCCATCAAATATGAAAGAGGAAGGTTTGGGGATGCAAACACCCCCATCAGACCCATCCCTGTCACCCATCCCTGTCACCCATCACTGTCACCCATCCCTGTCACCCATCCCTGTCACCACAGCACAGAGCACCAACTCCTGCTGCTCTCCCCTGGGAAGGCAGAGCTGCACTGGGGCTGCCCTCGTGCCTACAGCACCCTACAGAGAGGAGGAAAAATCACTTCTATAATTATTGTAATTTTGATTTTAAAACATCACAGGAAATTAAATGTCTCRGGAGCCTGAGACAGTCTTATCAAGKTTCTAAAGTATCCTTMTGTGAGAAGAAGATGGTRTTAGGSAWAAAAAAGAAACCCACCACTCTGCATTTTCTGCACATCTTTTGCCATTTTGTCTTCGTACGAGAAAGAAAAAAGCTCTGACTGGCATTTGCTTCAACAAAGAATGTGAAGCAAGCAATTTTCTTCTTTTTTTCCTTCAAGCTAATTGGTTGTTATTTAGTTAATTGACAATTGGTTTCAACTGCTGTCAAATGGGGACAGTCACTGCRTTTTTGTTAGGATTTCTGCATAAAAGCCTTCCCTCACTATTCCCTGCCCAGCACCAGCCATGGTAACAAAGAMTATTGCATGGGTATCCAATTAGCAGCAAAATGGAAAACGACAGTGCTCTCACTGACAGATTATGGTTTATATCAGTAATTTGGAGCTGTTTTGGGTACAAAAGGGCTGCTTGTACACAGCAGCAAAGGGTCGGACTGCAAACACAACCGTAACATTCAATCTTAGAAACAAATGAACCTTGGAGTGAGCAGCAGCTC